TCAATACGTATACCAGATGTCACCTAATATTGTATTGAATATCAATACGGAGAGTCGTAATGCGGTATATCAATACGGAGACAAAAAGTTACTAATATGGTACACTGTACAATATGGAGACTACATGTCACCTAAGCCAGAATTCAGCGTCTCTAAGGAGACCAGAGGTCATCTAAATGTTGTTTTTTTTTTCAACACAGGGCTCACAATGTGATCCATGCATATCAATACGGAAACCAGTGGTGTCCTTATGAAGTATATCTATACTATGTGATACTATGTCATATATCTTGGATATTCCCCGTTTTATAAAATTCCTAACATCAGATGGTTATTCTTTCAAAATTATTTTTTGTTTTCCTTATTGACTTAATTTTATAAACGCTTCACACTGTTATAAATACATTCTATTTTCACTTTTGCGGATTTTATGAACTATATTTTGTGCACAGTTTTGATGGTTCACTGAAGAATGAGAAGGTGACGTGAGGTCCTAATTGAGCGTAAGCATTATTTTCCAGCAGTTATAAGAGAAAGTCATTCAAGAACATACAAACCATTTATATTTCATGATTGGATTCATGGCAAAAATGTTTCAATAGGCTTGATACAGACGTTACCGGGAAAGATTTTAATGTGCTTTGGTTTAATCAGAATAAGATCTTTACAAGATCATTTAATCAACGACAACACATCACCTTGTTGAATTGACGCTATATATATTGAATAAAAAATATAATACCCCTCGTGTGTGTGAAAAATGTTACACTTACTCAGTGATAACAATTTGTAAAACATTTTCAATTGTGAGTTATTGCAATGGAGTATGTTGCGTTGATTTGGGTGATACTGAAGCCGACAACGTATAACCGTCAATGGCGCATTAGTGTGACACTTGATGACTCGATATATGTATGCAAGGCAACGTTTGATCAAGAGACATTAGTTTCCCAATCTGATATGTGATTGACCAACTGTCAATACTCACGGGCCTCTGATTAACAGATCACAAGCAAAAGCATGCATTAGAAAAAGATCGATTTTGCTGTCTCATGCAATAAGATAATATTTAGACAAACTTGTGCGACTTAAATTAAAGATCTCTTGTTTTAAATAAAATTACCTTTACGCTGACTAATTTGATATCTTGGTAGGAAACATATATAATACTAATAGTTTCTTGTTACCAAAATTTAAAATAAAATAAAATAATGGTTAGGGATATTTACAATTTTTAGTAATTTTGCATCGATTATTTATTGGTTTTGATAGTTCTTCTCATAAAAAAAATTATATTCTAGACTGTTATTATTAAAAACATGAAAAGTAGTTTACATAAAGTCGATATATACATATACAATAGACGAACGACTATCAATGGTTACTAAGAAGATGATATTTTCTGCCCTTAATAGCAAGGCTCATTTATTCCTTATTTTTTTCCCCGCAGTCTGCTTACTCAAGAAATATGATCATATTTAATTATTCCTCCAACGCTTATAGCAATCTTATTCATTTAATAACTTTTGCACGACAATGTATAGATTATTTTGTATAATTAAAAGGCCTCCAAGCAATGAAAAAGATTTTTGTCATAATTACGTTATTTGCTGGAAAAAAGCATAGTTTTGTATTTACTTTCCGTAAGACATGTGATTTGCAGTGTCAGATAAAGTTTAGAATACGGCGAATCTGTGCTCCCTATGCAAAACTGACCAATTTATTGAATTTCTGAACCTCCAGTCCTAATGAAGTTCAGTAGCATGTGCTATAATTTGTCATTTGCCTGGTGACTAAACTGATAGAGAGAATAATTGGTGATGTTCATTAGAAATACAAAGCCAAACCAATACGAAGATAGTCTTTTGCTGTATTATTCTTATTTTATGTCGCTCCGTGATCGGAAGGTCGCGAGTACGAATCTCGGCCGCGACTGACCCAAGTCGATAAAAAATAGGAAGCAACTGTTCCTTCGTAGGCACTTTAAAGTAAAAGTTGTGGGTCCTTCGGATGAGACCCTAAAAACCGAGGCCCCGTGTCACAGTAGGCGCTGGCACGATAAAAAAAACCCTCACTGCTCAATGGCCCTCAGTGCCGAGTAAAGGTCTAAAATAATTTGAAGCCCTTCATCGGTATATGGTGACGTCTCTATATATATATATGAGTGAAAATTCTCGAATGGGACGTAAAACAACATACAATCAATCTTATTTTATGCTAATTTCTTTCTTTTCGTACACACATCTCTACTCTAGATGTCAACGGTACATGTATATATATTATATTATAATATTTTCCCCTTCTGTATATATATCCCATATTTATTAACATTACCCTCTAATCATCGATAAATATTGAATCTTATTTGCAACAAACTCAAGAATCAAAACCTACTATCTGATTTCCTGCATAAAACATCTCTAAAGGATTTTTCACGAAGTTTACTCTTTTTCAATATCCTGCACTACATGGGTTCGAGAGACTTAGCATCGCAAAACCTCTCTATGAACTCTGTTTCATTGATAAAAAAAATCGGTAATTATTGGAACATACACCCCTTTAATATATCACTGAATAGAGCGTCCTTCAAAGATGTTCATTGTATTATCGAAGTGTTAAGTCAACACTAGAATACAAAAGGTACAGGTGTGTATTACATTGTTGCGATTTGGTAAATGCGCTTTGACCTAAACGGATGTTGTCTACTTGGCTTCAGCAACAATAGTACAATTCTCTTTTCTGCTAGAACTTTCAGTAAGGCGTGACATTCTCGGCGATACACAAATGATGACCTAGATTCTCATTGGTTGCCAAATTAGCTCATCAATACTGAAATTTACACAGCTTTTTCATTTACGGGTGAAATTTACATGGGATTAAAAGCATGGGACTGACGCAAGCTTAAAGAACCAATGACACCATTTCTTGCATTAAAGAGATGTGGCTTATGTCATCTCATCGTTTGTCAACAACAATCTTAAGTTGATAATGTTATTAATTTCTTAACCAGTGAGAATGTTGGTCACGATTTGAGAGACGCTAAATACATTGTATGTATCGCCGAGAATGTCAAGCCTTACTGAAAGTTCAAGCAGAAAAGAGAATTGTACTAAAGGGGAAAAATCTTAAGAGGGCTGGGTGGTTGTGGCCATTTTCAGACTATATTGATCTCCTTTAGAAGAAGAGCTCCATATAAAGATGTACAAAAATGATCAAATTTTAAAACTAAAATGTATGAATTTTTTCTTTGCCAAATGATAGTACTTAACAGTACTTAACAGCTTAAGATATCATATCTAAAAAAATAAGTTATATCTGATGGTTAATTTGTTGACCCCCAGCCTCCTTAAGTTTAATAATATTGAAGGTACTGTGATATTTGTAATAAAAAGACTTGCAACAATGATTAAACTTCACATTGCAAAATGTTGTATTTTTCGTTAATAGATGCATGTTTCTGTAAATGTTGCACTCTTCTCATCTGTATTAGAAGCAAAGATGCTTCTATCGAATACAAGATATAACTAGATTTTGAAGAATTTTAATTATGGTCTTATCATTATAGAATTAAAAGTATTTGACTTTGTATATAATCTATTATACTCGATTTTTAAAATCTCATAAGACTTTTAAATATTTTGTATCTGTCCATTTTTTTTTTTCATTTTTAAGAGTTTGAAAAAAGTCAATCTCTTAATAAGTGACGCAAAAAAGAAATTGATTACTACATTAGTATTACGAAAAAAAAAGTAACTAAAAAGGTTTAGAAGTGGTTAATCGAGGTGTAATATTTCGCTTCCCAATCACTTTCTTGAAAAAAAAAACTGTTTAGACTGTTCCTATTTCTAAGCAATTTAAGCTTCATCGACTATCTTGCAGTTGTAAATAAAACCTGTGTTTTTAAAATATTTTTTCCATGAAACAAAAGAATAAATATGTCTAGTATGATTATAGTGTGATTTTTCCCCCTGAAGTTCAATTTTCTGTGAATGGAATAACTCGGTAAAACAGATTTTCCATTGGAAAGAGCTAATCTGATTCAATCCTTAGTTTACACACACACATACAGGATTTTTTTTTCTGAGTTTACTTTTTTCACGACAGGAGGTTAGGAAGTTGATTAAAGTGAAACCATTCACTGAACTCTTATTTTTACTGACACAGAATGAGAGTGAAATATGGAGATAACGAACAGTGTTCAAGCTCAAAGTCCAGAGCAGAGCAAACACGGACCTCCACAAACATCAGGTGGGATCATCAGGTGCCATGGAGGAGCTAGAAAAAGAACAGAAAAGAACTGCAATCAACAAAACCCAGCATTTTTAACTGTGAGAAAGAATGCAGTCTCCTCATTTCTGATCGTTTATGCTTATTATGAATTTCGAGAGCGTGTAATAAGACAGTTTTCTTACCCAGAAGATGAATATAATGATGTACATGCTCATCTAAAAAAGTTCGTTCTCTATAAGTTCTTAAAACATTTACATGTAACATGATAATAATTTATTACATGGGTTTATACTTATCGTTGATTTGTTTGTCAAGGCTTTGCACTTTGAAGTCACTTTCAGTTTGTTGTTTTCATTAACTTTTTACCTAGTGAAATTTTACCTATTTAATTATATGTATATTTATTTAAATATAAATTATGTTTGTTTATTGTGTAACGTCCTTCTCGAGAATTTTCACTCATATGGAGACGTCACCACTTGCCGATTTAGAGCTGCAAATACTGACATATACTCGGCACTTAGGGTCACCTACTGCGACACGGGACCTCGGTTTAAACGGTCTCATCCGAAGGACCTGTCTACACGTCCCACAGTGGGATTCAGACCCGCGATGTAAGAATCAACTCCTTACTCCGCAACTCTAGAGGGAACGCTCTAACCACTGCGCCACGCGGGCGACTATATAAATTATTTAATTCTTAACATTTTTCAAAAGATTTTCCGTTTAATAGTAAACAATTGAATATTTTATATAGTTATTAATTATAACGTCACATGTCTACTTTCAGCAATCTCCTAAAGAACTTGTTCAATAAAAAGAATCCAAATGTATCATTGGCAATGTCTCGTTTGAAGAGCTACATGGGATTTTATAACTTAAATGCATCAGATGAGGAAATCTTGGATCAGATATCTGCTATAATTTCCAACCCAGTTCAGCAAGAAGATTCCTTAGAGGATTATGAGGAATTTCACATACAACGTTTCTTACGGCGATATATTCCCCCTTTCTTGATCATCATTGGTCTCGTTGGTAATGTGATGTCATTTTTCATATTACGTCACAAGTCCATGGCGCGACATTCAACTAATGTGTTTCTAGCCGCTTTGTCAATTGCTGATCTCATTGTATTGTTTATAGGGCTGTTTCGATTATGGATTGGGGAAATTCTTGAAAATGACTTCATACATGTATCAGATTTCATGTGTAAATTTGTAAATTTATTGACCTACAGTTCTAGTCAATTTTCCGCGTGGCTGGTTTTTGCCGTAACTGTGGAGAGATATATTGTTGTATGTCATGCTTTGCAAGCAACGCGTTGGTGCAGTAGAGAACGTGCAAGAAAGACAGTGGTTTTACTGGCTATTATTTTTATCCTTATCAATTCGCATTTAATATGGACCATTGGAATAAGAACGGATATGGGTAAAAAATGCGACGGTCTCAAGAATTATGAATTTCTAGTAAGAAAAGTGTGGCCTTGGATTGATGCAGCCTTGTACTCCACCATTCCCGTTATTTCCATTTCATTCTTTAACATTCTCATCATAAGACAAGTGATTCGTGCCACACATAGTCGCAGATCCTTACAACACGCTCCACTAAACAAAATAGAGCTAAAGAGGCGCTCAAAAAACAAGAGCTCCAAACTAACAGTCATGCTATTAACAATTTCGTTCGCCTTCTGTGTAACGACTCTACCCATGAATGTTGTTATGATAGCCAGCCATCAAGTGAGTAATAACCCAAAGGAGATGGCGAAATTTTGGCTGGTTCGCACAACAGCGGAATTGTTAATGTATCTTAATCATTCCATGAACTTCTTTTTGTATTGTGCCACAGGACATAAATTCCGATCCATAGTGCTTAGAATCGTCTGTAGGATCTCGAACTTTTCAGATCATAGCCAGCATATCTACTGTTCTGGCGGGTACAATGGGTATGCTTCTGGAGGTTGTATACACAGGAAAGTTGAATCTGTTGACTCTTCAAATAACGATGATTTAACCAATCAGGTAACGGCGTTATGAAAAAATCGCAACTATATGAGAAATGAATTCTCTGATTGTTATATTTCTATGGTAATTGGCGTACAGAACTGTAAACCTAATGATTGTCCATATTGTTATTTATATCTTTAGAGGAAGGGTTCCTTCTTATTTATTTTTGTTTTGTGCTTTATCTGTAGGACACATATAATATTTTTTTGTTAAAAAAATCCTAAATAATGGCTTTTGCAGTATAAAGTATTTTAGAACATTGTCATGTTAAAGCGTATTTTATCCTGTCTTTTAAATTGGACAGTAAATAGTCAAATATCAATTTCATTTCCTTGCAATGATATATCTAATAGATTATGTTATTAAGGTCTTTAAAGCCTGTTAAATTTATTTTTACTCTTTTATGCTCATGTGTCTTTACAGTAATGTAGATCAGCTTTGCATAAGAATTTTTTGAGACTTTTCAAACTAATTTCCTAACTGGGACCCTTTAGCAATTAAGGAATTCTTTTTTTTTATATGTCTAAACAAAACACAAACAGAACAGCCAAACAAACAAAAAAAATCCTTAAGTTTAGTAGACATACCTGATGGGATTGCATCCTGGGGCGACACAGAGTTTAAACTGTAAAAATATTGTCATTATGGTTATTTTCATCAGCTTAAGCTGTTAGTTATAATTTTTGTCGAGAGGAATTCATTTAAAAGATTTTGGTTACCAGCTTCTATTGAAATACCAAGGTAAACAAGTAACTGGTCTTTCTCAATATTTAATGTCTTTCACTACCAGGAGGGGACTGGCAAAGGAAGAAAGAATTCAACATGAAAAGCTATTATTTTTACACCCGCTCACAATCCCGTGATATTATATATGAATGTACATATACAATTTACGTAAATGTATAACAAACATCGATATAAGTATTTCATAATAATGACAGTACGAAGGGTGATCAAAAAGTTCGCGAACTAATTGAATTACTTCCTTAAACGAAATAAAATTTTCAGTGTTCATTATTTTTTGAAGTAGTCCTCTACGATTATAATGCACATCTGCCATTGTTCTGCCCATACGCGAATCACGTGATCCAGGCCGTCATGTGACATGCTCCGTGGCGTTCTGTTCACAGAAGCTAAAAGATTTTTCCTAGTCTTATAGTTCTTACCATGCGAGTTATTTTTTATAACAAGAACATTTCATCTGTCAGAAATGGCCAAATCTCGGCAATAGGATAGGTGGATAATATAAGGACATCCCTTCCCAGAATTAGCATGGTGATCATCAAAACCAGAGTTCTCTGTCTCGGGAGAGTCGTTTATCCAATGTGGATAAAGTATGGACGACCTCTTTTTTTTTTTTATCATATCTCATAAGTTTAAAGTCTAAAGTAAACGAAATTTTAGGGATTTAATAATTATATTATTGTAAAGATATTCAACTATTTTTCTAATTGTAACTTTGCGATCTTTCAAAACAAATTGCTCAGCTAAGGACACATCTTTTCCCCGGCTTGCTTTCGCTGGGCAACAGAACAAACATCATTTTTAACCATCTCCCTGCCTTCACTAAAACAATCAATCCAATTAATGATTGAACTTCTGGCAAGTCTTTTGTTTTATGCTATTGCAAAGAAATTTCCAAGATATACGTTAAACTTTACAGCCGTTCGTTGCTCGAGTGCGACTGAGACAACCATTTTTTGTCACAAGTCACCTACATATTGACGTCATTTCCACATTGTGACGTCACAAACAAGGAGCAAAACATTATATAGCACCTGCTATCTATAGAATATGTGTATGACTTTATGTGTGCCAAATTTCATTCTGATCTGAATTATGGTTTTGTAAATATAGAGATAGTTTGTGAACTTTTTGATCACCCCTCGTAAGTGCATGTTTTATATTTTTGCTACGATTTGATATGCTAAATGAAGCACTCACCAATGTATTTGATAAGTATTAAATACATGTACGTATGATTGTCCCCCGTTTTCACTGAAAGTGGGGGATATTAATTAGGGTCCGTCCGTCCGTCTGTATTCCTGTCTGTCTGTAACCCCTATTGATTTTGACGTCCAAAGGTCAAGGTAAAAAATTCTGTTTGAACAATTTCGGGGGTCCACCCCCACCCCCCACCCCCACCCCAATCTGCACATGCTCTTCTTTTTTTTCCTTAAGTGGGGGACATAAATTCTCTGAATTAGATTGTTAAATAAACTTGACGATATTTATATCATCCCTTTCGAATTCCTTCTTGTTTGATATAAAATGTGATATTGAAATAATCTGTATTATTATGCATTGCTTATCACAGTCATAAACACAAAAGATATTGATAACGAGATGAATTATTGTTGTAATGTATTTTTATCTTTGTTTTGCATTGTTACCATGTACAGAAAATATGATTGTTGAAATAAAACTAAATCTTTTTTCGTTTATATTATTTATATTGAGAGAGAGAAAGGTTACTCTCTGGCAATTATAATTAATAAATGTAGACATCACCTTTCCTTCACCTTTGATCATGATATTTTTTATACGTGTATATGAAGATCAAAGGTGAAAGAAGGCGATTAGTTTCCTGTTATAATTCATTTTAATAGCAGCAGAGAGAGCAATCTTTTACAATGTGTCATCGTTTAGATCTAGCTTTTTAGCAGTTTCTTCTTTAATTGGTCCATAGCCTAAGCGTGATTTTTTTTTTCAAGGTAAAAGCATTAACAAAGAAAAAAAATCGGAAATATAATCCATGTTTATATTTTACATGTTTTAAAAATATTTTTCCCCCAAAAAAATGGTGACAAACAAATACACAGTTTTTATGAACGTTACAATTAAATAGATAGATTTCGTGATATTGAATGGCACTAGGTGTAATTAGCAGTGATTTTGATTTATATGTAGCAGCTGCTACAAAAGCTACCTGGCAAAAGTGTTAGAACACTCACGGCATAAAATCGTTTTTTTTATTTCCTGGTCATCTGGTTTGTCCAAGAAGAGGGTTCAAATGGGTACATTAGTGCCTGGTTGCAGACACTCTAATGTTAATTGAAACTAAACATCAAAATATGTTTTGTCAGGAATTTAATCTTAATTAAGTCTTCGCTGTTAATTAAAACAGCAGGAGCACTCCTCCACTAATGTGATTTTCTGACAACGAAGGTATTTATTGAATTCTATATATATATATATATATATATATATATATATATATATATATATATATATATATATATATATATATCCCTTTCATGAGGTGGATCGATATGCTTTCATCTGAAGTCGATATATCTATGGATTGGCCGAATGAAATTGACAAAACAATATTTGAAAATGATAGGAGCAAGCCACAAGCTTTCTTTTTATGCCCCCGGATCGAAAGATCCCGGGGTATATTGTTTTTGTCCTGTCTGTCTATTTGTCTGTTGTCAACTTTATCATTGCCCATAACTTTTGTAATTCTTTTGACAAGACCTTCCTTTGGATACCAACAACCTTGACCTTGACGTTTTACTTACTTTTACAAAACTTTAACCTTCGCCATAACAGTTGCAGCTGGGGCTTTCAAATTTTAGAGGTATATTCCTAGAGAAAGACCTTTCTTTGGGTACCATCATTTTTTATCTTTTGGCCTGGATTTTGACTTGCAATTGAGAAACTTTAACCTTCGCCATAAGCTGCCATACGGGGGCATCAGTGTTTCACAAACACATCTTGTTTGCATTTTTAACACATAGAGACTAGAGATTTAAAAAGTTAAGCTGTTTAATGTAATTGTGTTTCCTTTATTCTGATAGAGTAATATAGGGAATGTATTAATTTTTAAAGACTACATTTGTTTTATATTTTTTATCAATTTATGAAAAACATATAAAGTAGATCATTATTCAAGGCATTGTCATTATAGAACATCACAATTATAGATAGAGGTTGAAGTATAATTGTTTTTCCTCAGAAATATTGTCAAATTAGGTATTGTGAGGCCAGCACTATTGCTGTTTTACATGTATAGAGGATTATTTCCATTTTCAGAAACATCAAGTCGATATGCATCTTTAAATAGTATATTTGAAGTTTTTTCTCAAGCAATATTGATGCTGGTGACGAAGTATTATGTACTCGAATTTAAACCATGAAATGATGCTGCTGTAATCAACACAAATTAAACAAGTTTTTTTTTTTTTATGATAATATGTTAATGACAAACATATGATAACACCTGTAATAGGAACATTCAACAGCGTCTTTGACTCTACTTAAATGAGTGGGTTAATTAAGCTAAATAAAAAAATAAATTCTTTACAATGAAATATATGGAAATAACGAACAATATTCAAGCTCAAATGTCCATTAAACAATACAAAATAGGAGCAGAGCAAACACGGACTTCCAAACATCAGAGGTGGGATCAGGTGCCATGGAGGAGTGAGTATCCCCTGCCGACCGGTCACACCCGCCGTGTGCTCCTTGTCATGATCGGGAAATAACGGAAAAATCCGTCGACCATTCAGTGTGTTAATAATGGCCTAACAATTAGTATGAAAAACGTCAGTCAGCATTTGACTCAATGATAAATTGTATTTGCTGACAAGGTCATTGTATCGACCATAGAACTTACGAAATGATGACTTTAAACGAGACTGCTGATATTCTTGTTTCATCAATTTGTTTGTCAATAATTTACTTCGTTTTAGAAATTGTAAATACGTAGAGCATGCTCTTGCGTATCGAATCAACTGAGAGATATACATGTATACCCCGAATGCAGGTGATGAAGGTATATTGCTGCATAAGTAAGGGAAGTTGACGATTGAAAAGTTAAAGTCATCACGTTTATCATAAAGCTTGGTTGTTAGATTACCATTATCGTCTTTTTCAAGTAAAATATCTCAAGCTCACCAGGATATATCGTGTCGACATAAGAAAGGATATAGCCATTGTTGATTGACAATACGTCATCGATATATCTAAATGTCGAGTTGAAAGCCATAGCAAGTGTTTTCTTCTTTTCATGTACAAGATTTTGGAC